TATTACTGAGAGGTTACTGAAATACATCTCATCAAAACATTTTTAAAGCATTTGTTTTTCCTGCATGTGTGTATGTATGGAGATCAGAAGAGAGGCTTGAATTCCCTGGGACTGGAGTTATACATGCTTGTGAGCTACCATGTGTGTGTTGGAAACTGAGCCCCGGTCCTTTGTAAGAGCAGCCAGTACTTTTAACCACTGAATCATCTCTCTGGTCCTGAAATGTATTTCACAATGAGCACTGATATACATACAAACATCATCCAACACTCATACCTAACACCCATGACCATTACAGGAGTTTCAACTAGCTTGCTAAATGGAATACAAGCAGCTGCTAACAAGGTTCACTTAGCAAAAATGACTAAACAGCATGTGGAATGCGCATGACTCTTAAGTTTTAATAATTATTGGGAGCCAGGCTGTCCTGGGACTTTCCTTGAGCCCCTGGTATATAGAGAAAGAACTTAGTTCCTTGTCTGAAGCTAGAAACCTGTTTGGAAAGGCCAGTAATGGCCTAGGACCAAGGCTTTGGGGGAACTGAGGTTTTGGATCATGGGAACTCGACTTTCCTCACCCCTTTGCAGAACTGTGGTTATCAGTCCTAAGGCTGCTGAGCACTTGGTCTGTGGTGCACTTGAGATATCCCATGTTCTCTTTGTGCAACCTTGCCTGATCAGTTTCCTGCTGACTTTGTCCCATTTTCCTTCTGCAAACTGCCTATAAGATGCTGTGCTTCTTAATAAATGTGACTGCATGAGCCATCAGCCCGAACAAAACCTCTTTATCTCAAATTTTCCTGTCTTCTTCCTTTTTATCTCATTCCCTTGTTCTCCCTCCCAGGAACCTGTCACTGATGAATGACTTGCTGGTCCAGGTCAAATAAGAATGTGTTGATAGGTTCGTGAGAACCTTCCAGAGAACTGATATGGACAGAGAATGGAAGGCAGAGCACATACTTAGCCTGTGAGGGTTTGGAGAACTTTTGTTAAAACTAGAAGTGGGTACACAAAAACGATAACGTGAGGCTGGAAGGGAAATTTTACTTGATTTCGTGATTTAGGCTTTGTGGTATAATTGAGCAAGGATTTTTGAGAAATAGAGCATTGATGGTGGGGTAGGAAGCAAGGAGAGGATAAAACAGTGAAGGAACATGATACTGTCTGAGGATTCAACTATGTGGGAAAGAGGAGCCTTAGCTAAAGTTTTTTTTCTTTTTATCTTTTTTCATTCTCTGACAATTTCATATGTATATCTTGAGTTTTCACTCATGTCCTTCTTCTCTACTGAAACATTTCTTCTTCCCAGGAACCCCCATCCTAATTTGATGTCCCTTTAATGACCCACTGAGTTTAATTATAGTTGCTTGTATGAGTGGAGGGCTATTTACTAGATAAAGCTTTGAAGAAACGAGCACGGTTTCAAAGCTTCTCTGATCTCCCTCATTTCTCTTTTTTTCTTTTCAGCCCCAGATTGCCTCTTACAATCCACATAACTTTCAGCAAGACTTATTCTCTCTCATTCCACCCTTAAATTATATACATCTTATTTTTGTTTCTGCATATATTTGGAACATTTAGCAAGTCTTATCCATGCATCAGCCTCTATGCTGGGCTCCTCCATTTTCTTGATCTAATTTGGCCCTCTCAAACACCTTACAATTATCATCTTTATCCCCATTTTTCAGATGGGGAGATTGAGAATCAGTCATTACTGAACATCTATACCAGCAAGCCATGTTTTGCATTTATTCCTAATGGTATAAAATGAATGAACTTAGTGGCCTTCCATAAGTTTATGGAAGGATCCGGTGTCACAAAGAAGAGAAAGTCACAATGACAGCAGCAGTCATGAATGGAGCTTTGGATGTTTGGTGATTAAGTGCAGAGACATTTCTGAGTTAGTCTCCTTTAGTTAGTAAGCTGATAACAAATTGATATCCTATAGCACTCTGATGTTTGACAGGTTACGCTGAAGATACAAGTCTCTAGACTAGGAAATTCCAGGTAACTGATGAAAGCAGTTGTTCATATTTTATTTTCTGACATGGGATCAAATAGCTCTTGAGAGACTGCCAAACCTATGAACCACTACAAAAACAGAAGCACATTTAACCACTGGTTCTTGGCAATAACTACAATGCCAAGCTTGCACAAGCATTTGAATGACTGATAGGTTACTACATGTATTCCATCTTGTGGTAGTTCATAAATAAGCATTGCAGTCAGGGAGCAATGTTCTTTGGCCACACCTGAACATAGCTGTTGCCATAGCAAAAGTAGATCTCTCAGCCAAAGATGATAGGTTGAGTAATAAGAGAGAAGAAATACATATGTCCAATGCAGACACTGGGTGATGGGACCTGAACCCAGGGCTTGATAAAATGTTCAAATTAGTGGGTAGAGGAACCACAGCTACTAGGCAGGGTCAATGTTATAAAATTTATGAGATCTCGAAAAAAGTATAGAAAGATGTTCTGTTCCATTTACCAAGCACTTGTTCTAAAAGTTCCAAATTTCTTATATTATCACTGGCTCACTTAATTATTAAATTATATATGAATTACAAGTTACAAACAGCACCTGAATAGCTTTCCCATTAAATAAATCACTGATACTGAATATCTCACTAAATTAATTGATCTCCCTCAGCATAATCTGACAAATTTACTCCCTTGTTCAATATAGTCCATGGAGTCACATCATCTATATTGCTATTGTGATATTCAAGTATCTCCCCTGCATGACCTTGGGATGCTATTTCAAGTCTGATGCCCAATTCTGTGCCTAACTTTAAAGGCCAATTAGACATCTTCTAAGCCAGTGTAACTGCAAAGGTTGGAGACCCATATTTTAATTTTGATTGTACCACCAAACAGCTGTATGACTACTGAAGCTTCACTTTTTTTCTCCCCTGAAAATATAGAATTAGATTAGGAGATCCCACCCTGGCTAACTGCCCAGACAACAAGGGGAGAATTAGAAGAGAAATGTTGATCACAAAGTCTCAACCCTGGAGATTCTGATTTATTATGTTTGCATTGGGGGAGCAGGATACACATTTGGAATGAAACATATAATTGTCTAATTGTGCAGCTAGGGTAAAATGATGTTTTAAAATACTGCTTTAAATTGATGGAGTCCTAAGAGTGAGATTGGACTGTCATTAAACTCAAATGAGGCTCAGAGAGCCTTGGGCACTAGGAGGTAAGTTTTGTCACAGGACAGGAATTAAGAAAAGAGCAAAGTAAGAGAGCCAGGTAGAAGGGAGTCAAGCTACAGCACTTTCTCTGACTAGGTATCAATTTTGGAAAAACTTCATAACCAATGACAGTTACTTACTAATGCCAAGCTCAAACTCGAAGAGAGATGAAGGCTGGTTTCTGCTGTGGCTTGGCATTCTACAGCTCCCTTGATGAACTAGAGTATAAGTAGTCTGATGAACATCCTCCTCTGAACCAGAGCAGCATTTTATTTTTACCCTTTCTAGATCTTATCATATATCTAGTCAGGTATTAAATCATAATGTCCAAGACATGTCAGAGCTTTGAAAGGAAGGATCTTATTTTGTATACTTTTATTTCCCATTGGGAGATATTGAAAGTTATTTTGACACTACATTTGGAGTATGGTAAACCTAGGTTTAATATGGTCTTCATAGCTTAATATCTGGAGAATTATTTCATATCTAAAGTCCCATTGATAAATGCAACCAATATGATTCAAGGATGAAGAAATATGTACCCTTGTGCATACACGTGCATTCTCTCTCTCTCTCTCTCTCTCTCTCTCTCTCTCTCTCTCTCACACACACACACACACACACACACACACTAGTATTAGCTCCTGTCATGATGTGTTAGAATAAAATGCTAGAATAAAAACAGTTTTTAATGTGCATTAAATAGTGTGTAGTGGACTTTTTTCAATCCTTTACATAGTAATGAATAGATGTTAAGTGAATACACACACACACACACACACACACACACACACACACACACACACGTAATTTGACAAAAGGGTCTTCTGTATTCCAAGCTGGCCTTGAACTCACTGTGTAGATGGGGATGACATTGGATTCTCCCTCCCCCTTTCATCCTGCCTCATACTCCCCAGTGCTAGGATTACAAACATAACCAAGCCTGTTTTCTGTTGAAGTGGTGGTTAAACCCACAGGGTTTCATGTATGTTAGGCAAACATTTATTAACTAAGTTGCGTCCTCAGTTCTTCAACAAATATTTTTGTTACCAAAAGCCCATTCAATTATTATCGAGGGTATATGCAAAATTTTCTTCCTTTTTAAAAAGTTAGTATCCAGTGTTGTATTGTGACCCCCTGGGAATCTCAGGCTTCCTACATTAATCAGGTCCCAGGTCTCCAAACCCAGGATACATTGCTCAGCCTCCATGAAAGCCGAAGAAGAGCCTTAGGGAAGAGTTCCTCTTTGGAGACCTTGTTCTCAACTGTAAGGCGGGTTCTGGCACTCCCACTTACAGAGGAACTGCAAGTTCCTCTTGGTCTGTTTTTAGCTTGTCTTGGAATTAGCGCTGCAGCCTCCTTGAGCAAGGAAAATTAAGAACTGGGCAAAAGGCACCGTCCTGACCACTGGAGCTGAAGGAGGGTGAGTGGCTGGATCTGAGTGAAGATTTGAATGATTTCTAAAGCTCTAAGAAAAACTCGGTCACCCTTCTGCCCTGTCCAGGATAACCTTTAGCCCGACACTCTGGAAACAGGTGGGCTTCAGCCTCTGAGAGTTCTTCCCAGAGACTGGCACACCTTTGTAAACTTAATTAGAGGCTGGAGTTAGAAAGGCACAACCAAATTCAAGAGCAGAGAGTCCACCCACCGGCTCCTGGGGTCCGTTCTAGCCTCACCAGCCCTTGTGTCTTCCTTGACTGTAGTGTGGAGTCACTGGGACCCTGGGAGCTGCCCCACAGGCAACCAGAAACCAGACTCCGCTTACACAATTCTCTAGACCCCAGGAGGCGACAGGAAGGGCAGCAGTGTTCTGTCTCCCTCTACAATGACCACTTTCTCTTGTCTCTGTCTCAGTAGGATGCCTTGAGGATGGCAGCTGAGAATTCCTCTGTGACAGAGTTCATCCTTGCAGGCCTGACAGACCAGCCAGGACTCCGCATGCCTCTCTTCTTCCTGTTCCTAGGTTTCTACATGGTCACCGTGGTGGGGAACCTGGGCTTGATCTCCCTGATAGGGCTGAACTCTCATTTGCACACCCCCATGTATTTCTTTCTCTTCAACTTGTCTCTCATAGATTTCTGTTATTCCACTGTTATCACCCCTAAAATGCTGGTGAGTTTTATCTCGAAGAAAAACATCATCTCCTACCCTGGGTGTATGACTCAGCTCTTTTTCTTTCTTTTCTTTGTCGTCTCTGAGTCCTTCATCCTGTCAGCCATGGCATATGACAGGTATGTTGCCATCTGTAACCCTCTGATGTACACCGTGACCATGTCTCCCCAGGTTTGTTTACTCCTTTTGCTTGGTGTCTATGTGATGGGATTTGCTGGAGCCATGGCCCACACAGCATTCATGGTGAAACTGACCTTCTGTGCTGACAACCTTGTCAACCACTACATGTGTGACATCCTTCCTCTTCTGGAACGTTCTTGCAGCAACACCTATGTGAATGAGCTAGTAGTCTTTATTGTTGTGGGCATTGATATTGGGGTACCCACAATCACCATCTTCATTTCCTATGCCCTCATCCTCTCTAGTATCCTCCGCATCAGTTCCACAGAGGGCAGGTCTAAAGCCTTCAGCACCTGCAGCTCCCACATAATTGCAGTTTCTCTTTTTTTTGGGTCAGGGGCATTCATGTATCTCAAACCTTCTTCCCTTTTGCCTATGAACCAGGGGAAAGTGTCTTCCTTATTTTACACTATTGTGGTACCCATGCTCAATCCATTAATCTATAGCTTGAGGAATAAAGATGTCAAAGTTGCTCTGAAAAAAACATTGAAGAGAAGTTCTTTTTCCTAAGAAAGGGGCAATGTTTTCAAGAGTCATTCCTTTCCCCTTTCAGATATGACTGCATCACATGTGTTACATAGAGGAAAATTTCATTCTTTCCTGGATGAGTTCATCTTTTCCCTTTGAAAGGTTCACTAGAAGATTCTTAAAGCTGCAGAGTGCTCATATTTAGTAGGGCTTTTTGAGGCTGACATAAATCAATTCCTGTTATTACTGAGAGTGGATGCAGATTTATGTATCTTCCTGGTGTGTGTGTGTGTGTGTGTGTGTGTGTGTGTGTGTGTGTGTGTGTGTTAGCAGAACATTGGGTAGACCACAGGTTCTATATTTCTCATACTGGTTGTTTGAGATGCCCCTCCATTGTGGCCTTCTCAGGCCATGGAACACTTCATTTCAAAGATGAGCTGGGTTTGGATGTTAAAGTCTGATTGTGAATGTAGAAATTTTATGTGACCTTTAAAGGGTTAATTTTAAATAGAACCTTTTTTTTTGCAGGAAAGTAGGAGGTTTAGGATTTTGTTGAGATGGTCTTGGTTAAATGGACGGAAAAGTTCTTGAGACATTTTATGGAGTTCAGAGGAAGTATATTATGACCTACAGAGTAGTAGCATGACACCTTCTGAGACAGTGATGTGGAACCTAGATGTTCCAGAGTTTGGTGATGCTGCTGCCTGGAAGAACTACAGAAAATGTTAAGCTTCTGAAAGATAAATGTTTATTTTTTAGGGAACAAGGCCCTCTGTATCCCAGGCTGGTCTCAAATTCACTATGTGCTGAGGCTGGCTTTGAACTCTTGATCTTCATGCCTCTACCTCCCAAGAGCTAGGATTACAGGTATGCACCACCATGCCCCAATCAGATAAAGAATTTGTATATTATTTCATACATTCATTTCTTTATTTTAATATTATATTTGTAAAGTTATTGTGGAGAAGTATGCAGCTCAGGATTATTGGTTAAGAACCTAGTAAATATTTTAGGAGCATACAACTGTTTGTGTTACAAGTCACAATCAGGTTAGCTCCAGACTGTGACCAATTAGTGAAAGAAATGTGCATGGAAAGTCATAGGTGTTGCAAGCAACAGAGACTAGGTGTGATGTTTTCTTGTGTCTTTTCAGATCAACTTTCTGCCACTTGGTTCCTTCTCCCCATGTTTTAGATGAAATTCTCTAATGAACTCCCTTCTGGGTTATTTTTTGGGTCAAAGTCAACCGCAGCCTTGACAGTGGAAGCAAGCAAAGAGTGATATGGTGGCATTTATTTCTGAACTTCTTCCCAGCTAGGCTAAAGGTGCAGTAATTAAATGCCCCGTTTCTATTGCGCTTCCTTTCCTTGCTTCTTCCTGTCAAGACACCACAGTGCCTCCCCTGGTGCTGTTGCTGGCTGGACACATTAGACAGTCCCTTTGTGATTTCTCTCAACCACAGTTTTGCCCAAACCTGTGCAAATAGTTCTCTCACTGTGTTTTTAATCATTTTGTTTGACTGGATGATTTGTTTTCTCCTGGGACTCATGGAGATACCACACAGTGAGAGGTGGATGAAATGATAGACTTCACACTCATCAATTTTTATGCTAATGGTGTCATGTGAAGCAAGGTGGTTACCTTTTTGATTTCAAAGAAAATTATGAATGGTAAATTTTTTTTTTGTGAAGTAATGATATGTGAAGTGTTTTGACTTTGGAAGCTATCTTTAGAAGCAGTCTCTCCCATCTGGAAAATGAGAAGTCTGGACAGACATGTAGTCTTACCTTTTGTGTTGATGCAGATCTATAAAGATGAATTTATAAGAATGAGCATGGATACAGGAAAAATAGAATTTGGGCAACTAGAGCAGGGAGAGGGAAAAGAAGCACCAAGACTCAGAAAGAGCAGAGACCAGGGAAAGAGGGCAGAGTCAAGTTGGATTTCTAATTTTTTTCCCAGTAGTTGTATAACTAAGTCAGTCATACTATATTTCTGAACAAGGAATTAAATTAAATTAAGGGAATTAAATGCTAGACACTTAGTAATTCTGTTTTCATCACCTAGGTCTAGACTTTTCCTTCACATACCAGCACTTTTTTTTTTCATTTAAGAAACTTTTTAAAATTCATTTTATATACCAAACACAGATCCTCCCCCCTCTCCCCCCACCAGCCTTCCTTTTCCCTTATCTACCATCCATCCCCTCCTCTGAAAGTGTAAGGCCTCCCATAAGGAGTCAGCAAAGTCTGACATATTAAGTTGAGGCAGGACCAAGACCCTTCCCCCTGCATCAAGGCTGAGCAAGGCATCCCACCATAGGGAATGGGCTCCAAAAAGCTAGCTCATGCAGCAGGGATAGATCCTGATTTCACTACCAGGGGCCCCTCAAACAAACCAAGCTACTCAACTGTCTCCCGTATGCAGGGGGCCTAGTCCGGTCCCACAGCTGTCAGTCAAGAGTTCATGAGTTCCTTTGAGCTTGGTTCAGTTGTCTCTGTAGATTTCCCCATCATGATCTTGAACCCCCTTGCTCATATAATCCTTCTTCCCTCCCTTCAACTGGACTCCAAGAGCTTGGCCTGGTGGTTAACTGTGGATCTCTGCATCTGTTTCCATCAGTTACTGGATGAAGGCTCTATGATGACGTTAGTGTATTCACCAATCTGATTACCAGGGTAGGCCAGTTCAGGTACCCTCTCCTCTATTGCTAGTAGTCTAATCTGGGGTCATCCTTGTGGATTCCTGGGAATTTCCCTAGTGCCAGGTTTCTCCCTTACCCCATAATGTCTCCCTCTATCTAGGTATTTCTTTCATTGTTCTCCCACTCCATCCCTCCCCCAGCTCTACCATCCTGTTCCCTTATGTTCTCATCTCCCATCTCCTCCCCTTTATTTCCCCCCCTCATTACCAGTTTACTCATGGAGATCTCATCCATTTCCTCTTCCCAGGGCAATCCGTGCATCCCTCTTAGGGTCCTCCTTATTACTTAGCTTCTTTGGAGCTGTGGGTTGTAATCTGGTTATCCTTTGCTTTACATCTACTATCCACTTATGAGTGAGTACATATCATTAGTCTTACTGAGTCTGGGTTACTTCACTCCGGGTGATATTTTCTAGTTCTATCCATTTGCCTGCAAATTTCATGACATCATTGTTTTTTTGACAGCTGAGTAATACTCCATTGTGTATATGTACCACATTTTCTTTGTCCATTCTTCACTTGAGGGACACCTAGGTTGTTTCCAGATTCTGGCTATTACAAATAATGCTGCTATAGACATAGTTGAGCAGGTGTCTCTGCCATACCAACACTTCTAATATCAGTTATTACATGAATTTGGGCAATCATTGTCTTTCTAAGTCTGTGCATGCCCATATTAAGTAAAAGCATGTTTGACCATATCAGTTCTACACTCATTTATAATTTATACTTATTTTATATTAACTAGAGTGTACATGCTTGCTGTATATGAATGCTAATGCATTGCTGTAAATTAAACGACACATTAGGAGGTAGAACCTTTGAGAGGTGAAGTCATGAGGGCGAGGACCTCATGAATGGGATTAGTGCCCTAGACTTTGCCTAGGGCTCTTTTGTATAAGGGCACTAAGAGACTCTGACATTATTTATGGACACAACAAGAAGGTTCAGTCTGTTAACCAGAAAATCAGTTCTCTGGCAGAACAATCGATCTATTGATACCTTGACCTTATACCCCTAGCATTTGGTACTGTGAAAAATAAATTGCCTGTAAGTCACTCACTGTATAATTTTTGTTATAGTAGTCCAAACAAGCTATGAAAATGTTTATAGAATTTATAAATATTATCAAAGAAAACCATAGAGAAGACATTTCCATTTATGCTGGATTTCTGGTCCTCCTGAAGTCTTATCCAGAGTCCATTCTTAGTCCATCCATTTCTTAGCTGTGCATTTTTATACTCAATGCATGTCCAAGTGTGTATGCATGCCTACCTATTTACCACAATATTTTTGTTCCCAAGTCATGAATAGCTTATTTAAAACGTATCTTCTGATAAGAATTAATCAGAAGAGGAATAAATTGTTATTAGTGTGAATAAATGAATAAGAAAGAAATAAAGATGAATGTTTAGAGTTGTAGTTATGGCAAAAGGGATAAGGAGAGAATGCAAAATAAAAAAGCTCACCCTTGGCTATAAGACTGTAAACAACGAGAAAGACATGGCTCACAGAAAGACTTGTTTCTCATCTTTTCCTCTGACTCAGCTGTCACAATTGCATAACATTTCATCATATGGATGTATTCTATGTAATTAGTAATCTTCTATTATTATACATTAAGTTACTTTCTGTCGTTTGAAATGATGCTTGTTAAACACACATATTCATCATGTCTTAAGGCTCTCTTCTATTAGGATATTAGGATATACCCTTAGATAGTTATTGAATTATGTAAGATTCTTGAGTTTTATAGAAAATTTCTATGAGCATTTATTTATTTATTTCATGTATATGAGTGTTTTGCCTGCACTTATAACTGTGTGGTGTACATGCCTGGTGCCCTTGGAAGTCAGAAAAGAGCTTCAGGTCCCCTGGGACTAGAGTTATAGATGATTGTAAGCTGTCATATGGATGCTGGGATTGAACCTGGGTTCTCTGTAAGAACAGCCAGTAATCTTATCCACTGAGCCATCTCTCCAGCCCCTGACTTCAGGAGGACCAGAAATCCAGCATAAATGGAAGCACAAATTTCTTCTTGAAAATTTGTTTGAACTTGTTCAGTCTCTGGGTGCTACTCGGGAAATCCAGTGCCTTTCCTTTTTTGTGTGTGTGTGATGGCAACCTTCACTTTATTGTCCTCTTCTTTTATACCCCCTTCTTCTTTGTTTCATTATCTGCTTGTGGTGATAGCTTTTTGAATAAAGAAGTGAAAAAAAGGGGGGCTATGGAGATGCCTACGTGGGTAAAGTGCCTGCTTCACAAGCATGGGGACTAGAGTTTGAATGCCTAGTACCCACACAAAAGCCAAGCATGGCAGTATTTGCATCTGTAACCCTAGCATTGTGAGGGGCGGGGCAGAGAAACTGA